GAAGGGGGACAAAAAAAAGTAAGAAGCTTTTATTTAGCTTTAATATAATGTTGAATTCATTGCTTATGTAAGATTTTTTTTCTTTTCTTGGGTCCCTGAAAGGGCTGAAATCACAGACACAATGAGATCCATATCTTTCCATAGTCTTCTCTGTCCATAGTGTCTCCATATCTGTGCATAAAATTTAGAATAATATTAAACATATTGGTTTTACTTAATAATTTTCAGTGCTAATTGAATGTTCACTTGATCCTAGGAAATTAAATATATATATTGTCCAATGGGCAGTACAGCTTTTGTTCTCACTTTATAAGTCCAGAATATTATCAATTAAGTAAGAGATAATGGATTTAAATAACTTCCCAAGATCACAGAGCTGGTAGCCTGCTTCCAGAATCCATGGTTCCAACCAATCCCTGTATTTTCCAGGTCACCACGTAGTTTTTCTTGATACATTTTAAAGGTTCCACAGAGTAGTTACCAATAATTTATTTCACTAATCCTTTTTCGTTATGTACCTAGGTTGTTTCTAATGTATTATTATTCTTTAAGACATCATCCTTTTAAGATAGTGCATGTGTCTTCAAGTATCAATTATGTGGCCATCCCTGATTATGCTCTCTGCAAATTTCTAAGAATGCTCAATGAAAAGATACAAATAACTTTTATGATTTTATTATTCCCATTTACACAGAAAAATCAGGGTTGTCCTAGTCACATAGCTAGTAAGTACTGGAAGCTGAGAATTGAACCTAGGTTTTGTGAGGCTAAACTGAGAACTGAAATGTTTATTTTTCTGTGTGAATGCCAGGAACCAATAAAGAACTAAGAAAATATTTACAGAAGGATAGTAGGGCAGGCTTTTGACGAGGTCTCAGACCTTCCTCAGTACAGTCACCCATGCTATCAATAATGCAGTGAGAACTGGGTGCTAAATGTTCTACTTCAACTGCAAGAAATAAGAAACAAGCCAGAACAAAAATATCCCCCAGAGACCAACCTAAGGTAAATAAGCCAAAAATTAGCTAAGCCTATTTCAGGAGCTAAATTAACTCACTCTTTACCCAGGGCAGAAATCTACTGCACAAGTTAATATGCTTGATAAGAAATTAAAATGTATATGGGGGGGCAGCAGATGGCATAATGGTTACATTGCTGGACTCCCACATAGTTGACCATGGTTGGTGTCCCGGACCCAGTGACAAAATTCATGCTGGGTAGGTTGGCATGCATGCCCAAGATCCTGAGAGAAGAATGGAGGAGAAGGTATTGCAGCATGGCTATCCCGCTGGGGACTGATTTCCCCTTTTCTGTCTTTCTGTCTTGCCAGATAGCGAAAACCTCTCTTAAAAAAAAGTATGTGGAAACAGAAATGCAAAAGAGAGAGAATGTGAGCTGCAAAAGATGACAGGAGTAAAAGGATCTTACACTTGAATAGTATACAGACAGGTTTAAGTGCTGGTAAAAACCAGGGACACTTCAGTAGCAAAAGGCGAATATAAGGTAAAAGCTTTAGCATTAACCTGCTGAGTGTCCTTGATGAAGAAGCCTACTATTTCTGAGTCTCAATTTTATTCCCTATTTAATTGAGGATAAAATCAGCAATAGCTATAATTTCTAGCACACCTACCGTGTGCCAGGCACTTTACCAAGTGACTTACACAGACTATCTTCGTTAACCTCGTAATAATATTACGAGGTGAACGCATTCATGTTCCTCTTTTTGTGACAAACTGAAGTTTGCAAACATTAAGTATATCTGACCCAGTGCCCTGCATGGGTCCTATAAATCGTGGGACCTCAGCATGAGCTAGTTCAACTTCTGAGATAACTTCCGAGACGGAGTTCGTAACCCCTAATATGTTTATCTTGTTCCTGCCTTAGGCACAACAAGGAAGTTGAAAGGAATAGATGAAACAATGAACATAATCAAACAGGGTTGAAAGGAATAGATGAAACAATGAACATAACAAATATTAGATTATGGCTCATTACTCACAGGACTACATAAGTTATTTGGCCCTCCATATAATCTGTTAGGTTTAAATGCCCTTGAGTACAGATAACGCAATCAAGAGGCAACAGTTTATAAACGGATTATAAATTTTGAGTTCAGTCATACATGGGTTAGAATCCCACTATCAACCGGCTAGATGCCACTCACCCACGTCCCTGTATATGTGCAGCAGAGAGGAACAAGTTGCATCGCCAGAAATAGCAAATGCAAAAGTTGAGACTCACAATCAACGTGTACTAAGTTAATGCAAGTTGAATTTTATAGGTGCAGATGTAGAATCAGAACTCAGACCTCTGACCTTGAGGCTAGTTTTCTTCTCATTGCCTCAGGCTGAATTTTTTAAATTTATTTTATTATTATTATTTTATACATTGAATTGCTATACATCATTTAGCTTGTAGAGAGAATTTACCCAACATGAAATACACCTTGGACCAGCCCAACTGAAAATACTCCTGTCCTTGCTTTACCCTTGCCTGTATTCTTGAATTTATTCCTTTGTATTTTCCCAGCCCCACATTATGAAGCAGAGCGTAAGCATTGATTCAATCACCTACATATTGAGCAGAGAAAAGGACAGTGGACAAATAAACAAGGCATAGGAAACTATAATCAATTTTTCCTGAGGTGTCACTGACCACAGGCCCTGGTCTAAGGTAATGCTTTGCCCAATTATGTATAATGTGAAAAGAATAAGAACTTTACAATAGGTACTACGGTACAATATCCAAGGGATTCGGTAAAAATGCAGACTTGTGGACTACCCAACACCAGTCTTCTCGACTTCACCTAGTTTGGGGAGGTAGTGCAGGAATCTATATTTTAATAAGAAGCTCATGTATTTTTTTTTTTAAACTCAAACACTTCATGTTACCAGTAGAGAAAGTCAACAGGCCAGAAATACCAATATAGGTAATACAAAAAGTGATTAATTATTACACAATAACTTCTACTCTACTGTCACTGGCTTTGGCTCAGATGTTCAAATACTTAAACAGCGTGTAAGCTCACCTGTTCTCTGTGAGAAATTCATGCAGGGTTCGATCATACAGGCTATGTGGGATGCAATTTGAGTTTTATCCTCAATTCTAATCACTGCACAAGGTACTTACCTTAGCTATTCTTCAGCTCACCATCTATAAGATGGGACTAAAATCCACCTCTTTTGTTTATTTTCAGTGTCAAAACAGTCATTTAAAAAGCCTGACACATGAGTAGTACACAATAAGGGGCTCATCATTAGTGAGAGCATCATCCTCACCACAGTATTACTATTGCCATTCTGTCTCCTTTAATTCTTGTATGTTTCATTTTAGGGAGTTCCAGAGGATGTAATGAGAATCCTTTGCATACATACTTTTTTTTTTAATTTAGAAAAACAAATTAAAATTAAATGTGTTTCAATAAAGATTTGTGTGCTAAGTTACCATTAAGCTTTTTTTTTTTCAGTTTGAGCAAGAATTTTTCAGCTCCACATGGTATAATACCTTCATGCCTCTCAGATGCAATACTTGCCACATTGATTTATTTTAATTAAGGACAAATTATTTACTAAATGTGACTTCATTTGCTCATAACATCACAAAAGACAAAAACAGTGGTGCAAATACTATTCATTTAATTGCACTGTGGAATATTTCGTGTAGTTAAACTTTGACTTTTTATTTTTTAGATTTTTGCCATAAGGTGTGTGTGCTCACTGAACAAAGAGACAGAGAGAGAGAGAGAGACAGTGAACAATCACCCCTTGCAGTGAACGAGCATATCACAATTCCCTCTCTTTCATTCTCTTCTCAAGATTTTGGGCAAGCATGCACACTTTCCCAGCATAAGTTTCAAGCTCCTGGGTCTGGGACTTGAACCATGTTGAGCCATGTCAGAATCCAGCACCTTAACCACCATGCCACCTCCTGGCCCCCAAACTTTGGTATGTTTTAAAGGGATACAGCTGCCTAAATACAGGCAGTACAACAATACATCAGTAAAGGTGGGGTATGATACAGAGACTCATTTAAAATTTTTTATTATCTAAATTCAGAAACCTTTAAACATAAAAAAAGGAAATAAGAGTTTTACTTAAATCTTCAGGATCAGCTAAATACACCCTCCACCTCATCTAATAACAGAGATAATAACTACAGCATCTCATTTTCATTTATCTCTGCTATGATATGAGAAGCATCATGCATGATAGTTCAGACTCAGAATAACACAACCCAGCAATTTTCACCCAATGAAACACATGGGAAAGCACATAGAAATATTCACTTTCACATGGCATAAACCCGTTGCCTTCACTGACGCCTTCCTTGGCAGTGAACATCAAATTTCATCTCTACAGAAACAGGTGGAGTTTTCCAATCAATAAGAGTGCTGAATTTCAGCACACAGTATCATGTGTAAACACCACATTTATTGCAAAGAGAAAGGTGCCCAGAATGGGATTTCACTAATACTAATTGGCTTATATTATCAGGTTTATGAATGATAATGTCCCTAATAAACCAACATTAGAATAAAATCCTAAGCACACCAATAAACCTGCTGCTGGAGTTATCGAATGTGCTTTTACGCAAGGAGCATGTGCTGCTCGTTTAGATTCCGTTGACGCAGCAGATTGGGATGACTCCGGTAGGTGTGTGTGATGCTGCCCAGTAGATGATAAGTGGGGCAGGTCAGTTCGTCAGGCTTTATCTCTAATTAGCACTAAAAACGCACAGTGCAAACAGTAACAGAGAAGACTTGACCTTGCTAAATTAGATGCATGGAAGGGAGGCGAAATGAAGCTCTATTTTCAAAGGGAGGAAAGCCTATTATGCAGTAATCAAAAAGTACCTACTTTGGGAGAGCCATATCCACCACCAAAACACAATGTATCAAGTTAAGCCATAGTTATACACACAGAGAAAGAGCTTTCCATTCTTTCTTAAGCAATCATCTTGCCCATCCTTCTCCCTCACCCCAAGAAAACAGGCTAGATTACCTTTCTCGCAGTGGTTTCCTGTGAATCCAGATGGACAGACACATGTGTTAGGAGCCACACATGTGCCACCGTATCTGCAGCCCTCCTCACAGAATGCTGTCAAACAGAACAGAGGACTTCTCTGAGATAAAGTGCAGTAAAGGAGATCACAGACTCTACCATCAGCCCTGAGGCCATTTTAAAATTTGTATGTCCACAGGGCACATGAGCTAGTCAGAGACGGGAAGGAATGGAAGGAAAAAGCACCCCATAATTGGGAATTGGGAGGAGAGGGCCACACTGAACTCCTGTCTCCATTCCTCCATTCTGTTGGTATGTATGCACATGCACCCAGCATAGTTTCAAGCCACCCACCCGCTCCAGTGTTCAAACAGCACAGCTGGCCATGCGGGTTCCAGCTCCCTTAACCACTAGGTCATGGTGCCAGGAACTGTCTGAAACAATTGTGTTCTTTGTTGCATAGGGAATATACATCTGTTTGATATATTTTAAAATTTTCAAACACAAAAGGAAGTAACTGTAATAATACTTATTCCACTAGTTTATATAAAGTCGATACACAGTGGCTAGAAAGTGTTCAGCACAGGGCTGACACGTGCTCAGTGGTGGCTGGTGCTGGCAGCTGTCACCATTGCTGGTATAATTATTACTGATAAACATGAAATCAAATAGACTAAAATTGAATAACTAGAAAGAGTAAGTCGGAGTAAAGGCAACAGCTTTTATAAAGTTCACACTTGTAACTTATTCTTTTTTTACTTAATATCTTTTATAAGAATTAAAAACTTATTTTTAAAATAATATTTTTGGGGGCCAGCAGCTGGCATGGTAGTAAAGGTGCTGGACCCCTACATGGCCGATTGTAGTTCAAGTCCCAGAGCTGGCAGGACTCACTCTTTCTCTTTACCTTTCTATTTCAATTTCTCTCTGGTCAAATTGAATAATAATAATATTAATAACAATAATTAAGAAAATTAAATACTTTTAAAAATAATATTTTGATAGCTAATATAATTTTTGATAGATAAAGTTAATTAACTCTGTACTTTTACAGATTTAAGTTATTTAAAATATTTAGATAAAAAAAGCAATGCTTCATCTATATAGCTAAAATGCTTAGCTATATACCCTCTTTCCCCCTAGTTATTCTTTTACTGAAAACGCTTTAATGTGGAAGTGCAGTTTGAAAAGGTATAGACTTCCTTAAGCCTATGGATAAGCACGGCAAAGTTATCCCAAATTCAAGTTAGTGCAAACCTGCCCCATTTCCAGATTCACTGAGTTCCCCTCATTACACAGTCACATAGAATAGCACGGCACAGTTCCATATGGCTCTCTGTGGCTGTATTAATTACAACTGTACATTGATAAATAATTCACTACCATGCCTATCTCACCCATTAAGACCCATAAGAACAAGCGTGTATGATTTTGCTCACTATTGTATTCTAGTCTCAGTATTTGATCACACAGTGGATGCTCAAAAAATATTTGCCAAATGAATTATCTGCATTTTCTAGCTGTTTCTGATAGAAAACACTTTCTCGACAATTCTGCAACCCTTCCACTCCGAATAACTCATCATCAAACCTGACTGAAGAAGCCATAATTTAGTGTACAAAACCTGCAAATTTCTAATTAAACAGGATGATTGCAATTGTTAACCCTGAATTTTTTTATTCACACGCAAGCTAGGTGAGCAAATGTTTTACATTTTAATTATAGTTTGGAAATATCACCTTGGAAAAATGTCATGGTTCTATTTTGCTATCATCACATAATTAATATAGGTCTAACTTTAAAAAGCTCATGTGGCATGTTTAGACAGTTGAACAGCAATCTAGATCTGGAGGACTTTTTACAGTATTATTGTTTTCCATATCATTTAATAACTATTGGATGCTTTAACAGTCTGCAGTTTTATCAATTAATTATTATGTGTTTCTTTGCCTCTGGAATTCAAATACTATTTTCTATTTCCAGCATGTTAAGACACTTAACCTATGCAAAAAGATTTAGATGATATCTGCATTGGTGTGTTCATCTCTCCCTTCCTTCCTTCCTCTCTCTCTCTCTCTCTCTCTCTCTCTCTCTCTCACACACACACACACACACACACACACACACACGCGTATATGAAATCCGTTGTACCATAAATTATAAGTTGTGGGCTCCAGTGATTGGCACTTCAAATAAGACACTTAAAGTGTAACTCTGCCTCACAGTTAATAACAGAACTATAAACTGTTTTGCAAGCCAAAAATGACATATAAAAAGCTAGTAAGAAGTTTCAAGTGCACCAAAAGAAGGCAGGGACTTGAAAATAGATAAATCAATTTGGGTTTCTTTAGTGCACAGTTAAAACTTTACTGTCTCTATATCCTGAAGACCTGGTTAGGAGACTCGGTGCCAATTCCTAATAGGTATGCACTCTTAATTTATAAAACTCTTAGAAATAATAATAGGTGAGAACATGACATGTTTGTATCAAAGAATGTGCAGATCTCATAATAAATAGAATACTATGAAGATGAAATGAGTATCTATAAGGAACTTAGAATGGTGCTTGGCACATACTGTTATGTATGTGGTATGTTAAATAAAATGAATCGATAGCAACATTGTATGACTATGAAGAATAGACCAAGAGTAAGTTGTCTAATACCCAAACAACCTAAACCCATCCTAGCAGGTGTTAGGCTTCACCAAGATGGGTTTAAGATATCCCTTATTCTTATGCTTGATTTAGCTTCTAATAAGGGTAGCATTATCCTTATCATGGAAATGTCTGGAGAGTGTTATTGTTTCCATATGAATATGGTTCATTTGAGGCTCATAAATGAAGGGTCCTGCCTAAGATAAGATTGGGTCAGAGTCAAGCTAAGACATGTTTACCTTGAAAACCTTACCTGTTCTTTACATGTTACAGGGCAGGTGCATCTATAATCTGGTATTCATATGGGGCAGGCTTATTCTTTTTTTAGTAGCTCCATAAAGGCTAAGGGAATTAACTAAAATTAAAAGAAAAAAAAAAAACATCCAAATTGTACATATTGTTGGGCCAGCTTGATGGCATGGTAGTGAAGGCAACTGGATTCTGCATGGTCAACTACACAACTCGAGTACCAGAACCAGTAGCTTGAAAAACACACTGGGCATACATTTGTGCATACCCAAAAAATCCAGAGGGGAGAATGGAGAAGGATTGCAGTGTGGCCATCCCCAGGGTGGAGATAATCAATCAATCTCTCTCTCTCTCTCTCTCTCTCTCTCTGTCTCTCTCTCTCTCTCCGGCAAGTGTATATACCCTACAGCAAAACAAGAAGAAAAAGAAAAACAAAAATATACACCTTGCATTAAAGGCTTGAGATAGGGAGTCATTCACGTTTCTAGACTTATTATCTCAGCTTTATTGTGTCAGCACCTAGTCACACTTTTCCTAATATAGACAGCCATCATTTTTCATTGAAATTTATCCAGAATAAACAAGAAATGTATTACCTGCTTGAATCTTAGACAACACAAAAATGTAATTTCAAAAACACAAAAGCATATAAAAGAAAGAATGTGTCACCTAAAATTTAAATGACTTTGAAGAAGCCAAGATCAATGTGAGTTTTCTTTGAGTATCTCATAAAACATTAAAGCATACTGTTTTCTCCTAGTCTAAAGACTGTGGGCAGATTATTCGTATCTGGATAGGCTCTACTTGATCAACTATGAGCTCAACATTTCTGACATTCACAGGGCCTGGAATAGGTATTAATTAGCTGCCGGCTGAACCAAAACAAGAAGCCAGATGGCTACTCTGTTCCCTTTGTGGCTTGTGACAATAGAACCTGGTAGAAACTGCATGGTCCAAATCTCTGTCCCCTGTTTCTGACCCATATGACCTGTAGCCAATCACTTCACCCTGCTGTACCTCAATTTTCTCAAAAGCAAAACAGAGGCAGAGCATTGACAGGACAGGGAGGTGTGGTGTAATCTGTTGAAGATACTGTGATCAACTGGACTGGGGAGAAATGTTCACATATTGAAGTGTTCACTTCATAAGCTAAACAATGCCATTGAATGTATATAAAAAATAAATTTATTTTTAAAAAAAGCAAAACAGTAATAATAATACTGATAACACCCATGTTGTGAGGGTTACATTGCCAACATAAATCATCTCACACGGGGCATGGCAGGTGGAAAGTGTTCAAGAACTGGACATGGCTCCTTTTATTGTTTGTTTGGTTATCCCTGCGATTCTGCTTTTCCAGATGACAACACCATTATGAATCAATTTCTCTTCTCGATTCTGGAGATGCCGCAGTGAGCGCGGCTGAAAACACCTCTGTGTCAGGGAACTGCTTTAGTCAGGGCTCACTGTCACCCCTTCCTTCACTTGGCAGCCTTCCTAGTGTCACGTGGTCCTCAGTGGAGTCTGGAATCATAAGTTTGCTGCAAACTAAGAGAAACTCAGGCACTAGACTTCACTGCTACTCTGCCTCTTTATCCAGACGCTGAAGCAGGGCATAAATAGACTGTGGGTGCACAGTGAGATTACAAATCAGAATCTGTTATTGTCGAAACGTTGGATTGGATCAGCTCCACTGGCATGCCTCTAGAATATTATTATTATTATTATTATTATTATTATTATTATTATTTGGAGAGGTTTTTGCTATAGGGTGGGTGCACTCACCAGACAGACAGAGAGACAGAAAGCAAGAAATTACCCCCTCAGAGGGGATGGCCACGCCGCGATCCCTTCTCCTCTATTCTCCTCTTGGGATCTTGGGCACACACGCACACGTGCCCGGCATGAGTTTAAGCCACCGGGTCTGGGACTCGAACCGCAGTCGACTACGTGGGAGTCCAACGACATAGCCATTACGCTAACTGCTGGTCCCCGCATGCCTCTAGTTTTGAAAGGACTCTTTTCAATGTACAAGAACACAAAATCACAAAAATCAAAGTCGGGAGTGATTTGATTCACAAAAAGAGTACTTTTTATATGAAAAAATTCTTAGCATGTAAAATAAAACAGGCATTAAGAGGGACAAAATGAGAAGGTGGTTTTGCAGTTGCCATGCTAGTGAATGCCAGGT